TAGGACTCAACATTATGTCGTCAGAAATCAATTGAAATGATCAGAAAAGTCTTACAGTTAAGTTTTGTCACGTTAAAACATCCATTGTACAATTATTTTTAACATGGATAAATGTACAGTCCTATTACAAATTTATTTCTCACTCCAGTGTATATAAATAAATCCTTTTCCTATGTATATGGATTATTTGTAGCACTGTTGTATTATTCATTCATTCATTCATTCATTCATTCATTCATTCATTTATTTATTTATTTATTTATATTTATTTATTTATTTATATTTATTTATTTATTTATATTTATTTATTTATATATATTTTTATTTATTTGTTAATTTTTTTATATTTATATTTATATTTATTTGTTTACTTATTTACTTATTTATTTATTTATTTTTATATTTATTTTTTTATTTATTTTTATATTTATTTATTTGTTTACTTATTTATTTGTTTATTTGTTTATATTTATATTTATATTTATTTGTTAATTTTTTAATTTTTTTATATTTATTTATATTTGTGTTTATTTGTTTATATTTATTTATTTATTCATTTATATTTATATTTATTTGCTTTTTATTTATTAATTAATTAATTTATTTATTTATTTATTTTTATATTTTCATTTTTATATTTATATTTATTTGTTTTTTTATTTGTTTATATTTATTTATTTATTTTTATTTATATTTTTAAAGTTTTGCAGCCCAACTGAATCATGATTCACTTATTTAAATTCCATTACGATCGTCTGTTATGAAATAAACTTACGTTTTTTCGTTAGTTTTCGTTAACTATAATAACCTTGAATACAATGTTTAAAATACACTCAGAAACCTCAATGTTCCCACTTGTCCTACCAATCCTCTAATTACTAAACTCTCAATTAGTATTTCTAAAGATGAATATGACTACTTTTATTCTTTATATACTCTCTAACGACCCTTCTGTCCCTCTCGATCACCAGTTTGTTTCTCTTCATGTGTGCTTTTCTCCCGTCTCTTCATTTTCACCTGATGACAGAAGCGCAGTCGCCCTTCACATGTCAACACATCCTATAATGGTTTTACGCGGCGCCGAATTCCCTTTGGGAGTCGCCAAGCTGTGTTTGTCTTTCCGAGTCGGCGGGGGAGAGGGTGATATTGATTTGTGGGTGACTAAAGGAGGTTGCGAAGCATTGTGCCGGCTAATTTGGAGGTGGTAATTTTCAGGGATGGAACCTAGGAGTCACTTAGGGGGTTTTCAATTACATGATGGATGATGTGTGGAGAGATGGCTTTATCTGCATCTTTACAGCCGATGTGTCCTCGCGGTCGCTGGAGGAAACAATAGCTGATGCTTTAGGAGCTCAGGCTGGGATACAGCGGGATTTCCAGAGAAAGCCCGGCTGGCTTTGATCAGTGCTGTTGTCGGGCCTTTGGATTAGCAAACGCCGTGGTGTGTTTTGTTAAGCGGTTACACTTTGATTGCCACGCTGATGGACTCCCACAGTCTCCTGCACTACACATGCTAAATAAATCAGCAATAATAGAAGTTTATTTATACACTAAATCTGAGAGGATTATTTTATGATTGATCACAGCTGGTCCTGCAGTAGATAACACATGATTCGCCAATCGGATGATTCCTAACCCCCTATAAATCACCAGAGCTTCTTACCTCAGTTATCTTCATCTTGAAGAATCCCAGCTCCCACCCCTACCTTTTCTATATTGGGCAACACGGCAGCCCAGTGGTTAGCACTGTTGCCTCACAGTAAGAATGTCACTGGTTAAATGTCCTTACTGGACCTGTCGACATTTCTGTGCGGAGTTTACTTGTTCTTGTTCATGTAGGGCTCCCCAGTGATATGCGTAAATTGACCGTACCAAATTGGCACCGCAAGCTATTAGTAAGCCGTATATTTCTTTATAGCTATCCCTATTGACCTTATTCTAAAATGCGGAAGTGCACCTGTTTTCGCGATTGTCTTAGAACTTCCGATTCAATCGCCTATGGGAGAAATGACTAGGAATAATAAACGGCAGAAAACGGTCAAACTACTTGTTCTACAAACAAATGTTTGCATGACTATACAGACCAAGTAGAATAATATAACAAAAAAAATATCAAATTGCAACATCAAGCAACGTAATGAGCAGTTTTTAATGTCTAAAAATGAATGAAAGTGAATGAGACCGGAAGTCTCGAGCCAAAAAGATTCAAATGGCAGCGCCCACTCGTCGGCGGAGAATAAGGTCAATAATCATTAGCCATTAACAAGTGTGGGGAGTTCACGAGATCTACCTGAGCTCAAACTCCCCTCTCATCCTGCAAAAGGAGTGAGCCCAGGGCTCGAGGATGTTATAAGCTCAGGGCTCTCTCCCAGGACAGCATGCCAAACATGCTTTATAATCAGTCCTTATTTAAGTGTGAACTCTTGAAATGCCTACAGTTTTACTGCTACTATTATTAGTTAGCCTTGTTTGAATGCCAGGGAATTATCAGAAAAAAGTT